ACATGTGGCAAATCGGAGATTTCGATTCCGGGCTGTAGAGGCGGGAGATATGAAACGTAAATTTACGTTTGCGGGGCTGAATGTGTTAATCAGAATTCCAATTGATGCCTTTTCCTCTTGAAAAAAAAGTCAAAATGCGAAAATCGACAGAAGTGTATCATTTCGATTCACCGATTTCTTTGAGTGCAGGTGGAAGTGGAGATAATCGTTAATCCCCCGGCTGACTGACGGTGCGATGGAATGGACACCGATCGGCGAGCGATTCGCTCTGATTCGACTCCGATTCGAGCGAATCGGCTGTCTACGGGCCGAACGGTGAGTCTGACTAGACCACATTCCTCGAAGAGGTGGATGGAATTACATGGGATCTCTAAATACTTAAAAACTTTAAAATGTAACGTTAAAAAAAATTTTTTTTTTAAATGTGGTGGTGGAGGGTAGCAAAGGGTCAGTGACGAAGGGGAGACGGAGGATAGTGATTGAAGGGCAAAGGAAAACAGAAAATCCTCCACACACCATCTGGTCTCCTCCGCCCGACACTCGCTCCCGAGATTAGCGCAAGTATAATATTTGCGACAGAAAACCTGGTTTTTGGACATACATCACGACAAACAGAACTCGAAATGGGGCTCTTCCTCGGAGGGAATAGTTCCTCTTTTATCATACCCTTTCCTCACTCCCATCCCCTTCGAAGAACCTATCTTAAGCCAACTTAGGGTTTACTTAATGAATGTTGCACCGTCTGAATTGTGATGCGTTTGGAGTTTTCCTTAAAGTTATTTTTTTTCGTTATCTGTAACAAAGCTAATCGATATTGAGGTGAAAATTTAACATCCTTGAGAGGACGCCATCCCGATCCATGCCCCATTTTTATTTGGCGGGATGCCATCCTTCCATCATCTGCCTCATTTTGAGTGCTGTACATAAAACGCATTCGGCCAACATCATACCCATACGTGTTTGCATACCATGTTCATACGACTTTTCGTCGAACACCTAAAGCGCTAAAGTGTGAGAGACGTGTAGAAAGAGAGGATGAGTCTTTGTGGTCGTGAACCTTTTTCGTGCCACGATACACTGGGTCAGATTCCTGTAGTTATGCGACCCACAAGTTCTAGATCGGTCGTAAAGATTGCGGTCCTTTCATAGGAAAACAATACAAAAATACGCGAAGAAATATGAGAATGCGCACGAGGGGTAGCGAAGAACAAAAACTGAAATTTTTAACTTCCGTCGAGAAAAAACAGAATGTTCACGGCTTTACTACGGCGCTACCGAGATCCCGAGATTAATGGAGGCTTCCACGAGTTCATTTTTGGATAGACGACGGTGAAGTTATCAGGAAGAAGCGTAAGGATGATTTTAAAATATATTCACATTTGGAATCGCAAGCAGAACTAGAAAATTTTACTTCAAATTCCGACTGCGAACCAAAACTAACCTCGATTAGCTGAGAACTATCTACTTGGAGGGATTCCAACGCGATGGGAAACGAAAAAGTAGGAACGGACACCACGAGTTCAACTGCGACACGGAACACGAATCACGAACGTAGATGTCATTGACGTTCCCCGTGGCCGGTCCGACCGCTAGTTGGCACTCGATTCCTGACGAGACGGGAAGCGTTCCGACGACTGTCTCTCCGCGACTCCGTTTCGAGATGGCAGCGATACGGTGGAAGCCCCGATTCTCTCTTCGCTTTGGGTATTGAAGATCCGCTCGAGGCTCCAGTCTCGTCAATATGCCATCTGTCGGGAAACTAGAACGTCTAGGGGATGTTCGCGGGTACTCGCGTTTCAGGCGTTCCGATTCGTTCACATCGAGCTTCCATGACATGGAAATTCAGCTGTGCTGCGATTCTGGTATTCGTACAGGTTGAATCATCGTTATATACCGACTCATTCGAATTTGATTTTTGATCACATCGACCCCGTGATGAATTACAAATCATCAACCGTTACATTTGCATGGGGAAAACTAGCGTTGGGATTTCAGAGTCATTCCCCTTTTTTTCCTCCTAACTCTACTGGGATCGTCGGCTCCAAGCCTTCTCGATCGTTTCGATCCCCTTCGGCTTGCAATGAGGATTCGAAAGGGGTGAATCGCCCTTTCACAAAATGTGAGTTTGCATGCTCCTGCTTTTCTTTTTTTGATATACTTGGCAAAGAAATAGAGTATTTATTTGACTTCTTTCTGGACCCATTTTTAGGAAGATTTTTCTCTCATAAACAGTCTCCCATGAAAGAGTTTGGGAAATGTGGCCTAAGGTTGGTCGGCTGGATGTATGGGCGAGAACATCTCTTCCGATGGATTTCCTTGGAAATCAAAAACGAAAGGAGTATTTTCTGGAGCGTCCCGATAGCATCTGGTGTAACACTGAGCTCGATACTTGAGTATTCAGTCCCTTGCCTATGTACAGGGTGTATCAGAATAGATTCTTCAAATTCAGTTGCTCATAACTCTAGAACTAAATATGATGGAAACGTAAAACGAGCTTTACTACATTCCTCTGACTATTTACTTGCATTACTAATGTCAGGATGAAATCATTTTCGAACGCCTTAAACTGTTGGCCTCGTACATCAAGACATTCTTGACAACGCTTGGAGATTTCACTGAATGATATGATGAAACAATTCCATGGGAAACAAACAATTTTGCTTTCTATGCGTGCCTGCAACTGTTCCATTTTAACTGGTTTAGTCGCATGAAAAATCCTCCGATCCAATACTCTGCAAGAGCCAAGTCAGGACCAATTGAATGGCCTCCACAGCCCCTACGATTTTACTCTTGTTAAATTGGTTCTGGGGATATCTGAAGGCGGTTGTCAACGCGACTAAAATCAAAGACGGAACGATTACAGGCTCGCAAAATAAAGGAGAGTTTTCCTAAACATTCAATAGGAAAATAAAGAACAATCAAAGGACGAATGGAAGTCGGATCGGTATATTTATCTACAGAGGGTAGGCCTGCCGTAAGAGTGTTCGACCTCGGCTTGGGATGTGAAAATGAATATAAATTCCCGTCCGACGTCCCGAGCCTCGAACCTCGATTGCGTGAGGAATGAGGGTTTGCCTATCGAGCTCCACCTCTCCTTTTCAATATTTATCCCATGGCTCAGAAACGTTGCAACTAGTCCATTGAACTTTGCCTCTTGACCTTGACCTTGAGCGATCCCTGTCTTCCCCGAAGAAAGTGGGCTGACTAAAGCAGCGAAGAGAACGTGGGAGAGTCGATGGGCAAAATTATGATTATGTCACTCACATAGCGCCAGTGAGATGCTTGGTACCGTCGAAAATATAAGGACGAGTCACAGTACAAATTGTATTCACTAGACGATTCACACTCAGCACGCTGAGAATATACTACGAGGGTCGTTCAAGGTCTACCAGGACTTTTGTTTATGCAAGGCATATTAACTTATGCAGACTAATACTTTTTGGAAGAATTTTCCTTAATATTGTTGTTGACCCATATCGGGTGTTTCGAGTGTTTCCTGCTTTAATACATGGGCTGAAAATCATGATGGCGGCAGTTGAGGTAACAGAGAAGGTGGAAAAGCGAATCATTATGAAATTTTTGGCCAACGAATAAATCCAACCTTTTGAAATTTATAGACAATTGCCTGCACAGTATGTTGATGACTGCCTGTGAAGGACATCCGTATTTGACTAGTGCAAATCATTTAAATATGGGTGTGAAAGCGTGCAGAATCAAAACACACACTACAGTACAAGACCGGCCACTTCGTTCAACGGCGTGAACATAAAACGACTTGAGGATCTCATTTTGACTGACGGAAGAATTTCTTCTTATAGGCAATCATCTGTAGCACAATCTCATAATCTGTGCAGACGATCGTCTGTAAATTTCAAAGGATTTGATGTTCTCGTTGGCCAGAAATTTCATGATGATGTGCTGTTCCACCTTCTTTGTTACCTCAACTGCCGCCATCTTCATTTTCAGTACATGTATTAAAGCACGAAACACGTAATTCTTAGTATGGGTTACCAACACTATAAAGGGAAAATCTTAAAAAAATGATTAATCTACATACATTACTTCGCTGTTTATATGCAAAAGTCCAGGTCAAATTTGAACCACCATCGTATTCGCTGTCCCACTTTCTTTGTTACCTCATTTGTTTACCCCCTTTATTACACCATCTTATTTTCAGCACATGTATTAAAGCAGGAAACACGCGATTTTGGGTATGGGTTAACAACACTCTGAAGACAAATTCCTCCCAAAATTATTAATCTACATACGTTACTCTGCCTTGTATAAACAAAAGTCCTGGTATATATTAAACACCCCTCGTATTTGCACCGTGTTAGAGGAAGCGACGAAGAAAGATCACAAGTCAGAAGGGAGCCCGAAACGATCGTTTCAGAATGTAAGATCTCCTCCCCTCGATTTCGTTCCCGTCTTGGAAGCAAGTTTTCCCTTCTGAAAGTCCACGGACAGGCTCTTGGCTAATTTCTTTCCTTCCGTCCCTTCCAGGTGTTTCTTCCTCTTCTCGACGCTAGATCCTGGTCTCTTGACAGCCGGACGAGTCTTGTTCTCGAGGGACCCATTAACATCGGCCAGAGGAGGAGACTGGATGTCCATGGATGCCCTACGACGCCTCTGTCCCCTCCTCGCACTTTCCATCTTGCGACTGAGTTCCGCTGCGAAGACTTGATTGGCCACCAGGCGGGTCCTCTCGGCCTCCTTCTTTTCGTTTGTCGGAGGATACGTGAAGAGAGCCGAATCGGATCGATATGTCGATCCCGGCTTCTTTCCACAATCACTGTCGGTCCTGCTCAAGGTTTGCAAGGTCTGGAGACTCTGGACCATCGGACTGTCTTTTCGGTACCTGCCAGTCCCACTCGGGACTTTTCCCAATCTTTCTTTTCTTTGAAAAGGAGGAAGTATCGATTTATTCGGAATTGGATCCGGCTCCGTGGACGAGATAGGCACCCTTCGTTTCTGTGACGCAGATTCACTGTTGCACTTCTCTAGACCCTGAGTTTCACCTCGACCTCGACCTCGACCTTGACCTTGACCTTGATCTTGACCTTGACTTGACCTTGACCTTGACTCTTGGAAGCAAAGGTGATCTTGGTCTGCTTAGAGGTAGTGGGACTGCTGAGGTCAACCCCAGTAGAAGCGGTGCCAGGTCGACGTGTCATCTTCATTGGCCGACCAGTGACTTTTTCCCATGCGAGGTAAAGGATCTTGCGTTTGAGGTCGAATCCCAGAAAGATGAAGGCACCCTGCAGGCCATTAAAGAAGATGAAGGCGAACCACAGGATATCCACGTTCCCTAGGCTCGCAACAAAACCGAAGATCCAACCGAGCCCCATGATCAAGGCCAATTTAAGATATAGGAAGAATTTAATCCGCTCCTTTCTCATCGGTTGACCTTCCTTGACCTTGACGTTGACTTGACCTTTCTTGAGGCGCCCGGGAGTATGGGCCCTTTTTGACGCGAAACTCGCTGCCTGTTGTTGGCTGTAGATTCCATGAGCCGTGAGGACGAAGAGAATGATGTTCTCGAGGAGGATCCCTCCCACGGGAAGGACGAAGAAGAGACCAAGGCCGTGTTTACTGTTGATCCAGCACAGATTCCTGGCGTAGGCAGGGCGATATTGGGGAGCAACGTTGGTGAATTCCGTGATGATGGCGGCTGCTACGATGAGTGCGGAGGTACCCCAACCGTAGATGGAATAGCGCATGAAGAGCGAGGACCGCGAACTGCGATCTGGAACTCGATGGGATTTCGCCGTGAAGGTTCGAAACACGTCGAAGCTCATCACGTTCATCCAAAACAAGGAGGCAAGAAGGAAATAATGGAGGAGTATGGAGACGAAAAGACACAGGCCGTAGCCTTCCGTGGCCCCGATCAGGGATACGAAGAGAAATTGACCGACGAACAAGGAGCAGGTCAAGGAGAGCAAATTCTTCCCCGGCAGATTCCTCAACTTTGGTATGGAGGTGTAGATGAAGATGTGTAGGGCAGAGCAGACGAGGCTTACGACCAAACAAACCAGGGAGAAGTAACTCTGAACCGGGGAGAAACGAAAAAGTCCACGGTAATCCGAGGCGCAGACCAGGACGACGGTCGCGTTATGAATCTCGTATTCCCCAACGCGTATCTCTTTCCCCGTTTCTCGAATGACTAGGGATCCATTGGAGAAGACCTCCACTTCATCCTCGGTGAGGAGGATCCGGAAGCAGTCGGACGATGTCACGGAGACGTTGAAAGACGAAGCGTTCGCCAACGACAAGTTCCGTGCCACGCACCGTCCGTTGCGATTGGTGTAGAACCGGCCGCAGACGATGGCATGGCAACGGCCGTGAAGTGCGTCCCAGATGTGCTCATGATCGCAATCCTCCTTTCCCACTTGGAATCCCCCTTGGAAATCGAAGACGACAGCGAAAGACAGCGGCAAGGAGAAAGGTTTCCGGTACGTGGGCAGCGTCTCATGACAGGCGAGATTTTCCGTCGTCTTGTTGTCTCGGTTACAGGCGGCACAGTGAGGGTTCTTGTAGACGACCCCGTCGGTTTTGTTTTTGACCAGGAGACTGTACATGTCGCACTTGAGGGAGTTGCTCCACGACCCTCTTCCTTCCTTGCATTCCCTCACCTGAGGCCTGCATTTCCTCCCGTTGTACTCGCTGAGATAGTTGGAGAAGTCTTGGAACTCATTCACGCGAAGGTTGCAATACAAGGGTTGTCCCATGAACACTCCCTCTTCCCGGAGTCGAACGCTCCACATCCGGAGACCCTTGCTGTAAGTAGCCATTTTCATCAGTTCTTGGACGGTGAACATCTGAGAGACGTTTTTGCTGCAATTGATATGAAGGGTCCAGGGCACGAGTTCCTTCGCTTGGTTGCAGTGGGCACAGAAGACGTTGACGTAGGTGCGGTTCGTAGCACTACTGAAAACAGGGACGTCGAGGATGTGGGAGTATTCGGAATCCGGCACGGAATCTCGAAGGCACTGCTGCATGACCGACTCGTCCCCGTAATCCGACGGACATCGTCCCACCATGTAGATGTTGTCCTGCAAAAACACGACACAGCAACTGATACTAGTAATCATTCCAATCTTCTCGAAGTATACGAGGGTATACTCGTCGGCGAATCGGACGGTTCGCAACGGATCACCGCTCTACCTTTCGTGCGAGGTAAAAATGCTAGGCGCTCCTCCAAGAAAAAGCCATTTTCCCGTAGCAGGGATGCATGCAAACTTCTAAACCTAAGTTCGTCATCGAAAAGGATATTCCTCGCACTTCTGCAGTGCTTTCAACATTTTAGGACAGACCTTAGGGATCCCAGACGGGGGCGGCTAAGGCCCCAAAAGTTTGAGAAGTTTTGGGTGAGGGGGTAGGGGGCTTTTGGGGGAGGGCTTTGTCAAAACGTACCAACAAAATTTAAGCGAGTTTCCTTCCCCCCCTGCTGTTATCATATGGTAGGTAAAATATGTCAGTAGATTTCAGATAAATAAAACAAAAAGTCATCGTACTTCAGCTTAAATTTTTTCGGCACATTCCAGCTCGCTAAAAATACAGAGATGGAAGACACCGCCCCCCATATTGATTCCGACCAATCTTTAGAGGGTGGAGACACTGGGAGCTCTGAATCAGAGTTCGCCCAAGGCTATTTCTAATCTACAGTAGAATCTAGAATATGGAACGGAACTCCATCATCATCATCTCCAGGAAAAAAACCAAAAACATTTTCGCGTCTTCATTGCTGAATATGTTTTGACGTTGGATGAAAGAACCGGGAGGTACAGGGTGCACTTTCTGATTCAGGAAAGAATTGGGTACATTATGCAGCATTATAGCGGATAGCAAGGTAAAAAAAAAAAGGAGTGCATTCCGGGAGTCTTGTTCGAATTTAAAAAATGTAATGATTGTCAGGAATCAGTTGGATGGCCAGTTCCCAGATCGAGTCATCCAGAGACGCGGGAGTGTTCATTGAACAGACCTCAAACCACCTAACACCTTCCCACTTTTTTCTCTGGGCTTCTCTCGAGAAAATGGTTTGCGTAGAAGCGTTTTCCACGCTTAAATATTTCAACGACAGACGTAAAGAATTACAGGGCCCTGCCGAGAAATGTCCGGAAGTCGACTACGTTACACTTCTCAGATATCTAAAATCCAGGTAAATCCTTATTGATTACACACCAAAGAACGGAAGAACACGATGAGAGAGAAAAACCTTCGTCATCTGTCGAAGCTCTCTTCCGTGAAGAAGTTATTCACATGTGATCCTTTGCCGTCATCGTTTGAATTTGAGGCATCCCCCCGAGGAGGAACCCTGAAAGAACCCCGTCCAGAAATAATTCAGGGTATTGCTTTTTTTTTTTTTTTTACAGGGTATTATCGTACGATCGTACGTTACATCGGGTGTCATGAAGCAGAACCTCGTCATACTTCGTGCGGTTTCACGATTCTGATCTGATCACAGCTAAATCAAAGGAAATTCCTGACATTTTAAATTTTTGCTCATGATAGTAACTCTTGGAGGTGTTGAAAGAGCGTGAAGATGGCTGTCCAAAACCTCGCTTCATCCAAAGTAGCCTTCACAAACTGCTCGCAGAGGAGCAGCCTGCATCTCATCGTGAATTCGGTTTTCAATTTCTTTAATAGATTCCGTTGTTTCCAGAACGACCTCGAAGAGCTAGTACTGGCAAGTGAAACGCCATGGAGCCACTCCTCCCGCTGTGATGGGTAATTACGGTTTTATCCCCAATTACCCTTCCCCCTGCCCCATGTACACGTGTGTTAATTCGGCACTGAGGCGAGGATCAACAGACTCCCTTAGTTGTTCTTTCAGGTAAAGTTTATATTGACTTTAGATTTAGTTTAAATTTTGCAGAGGTGAGGAACAGACTCCTGACTTTACTATCTCCCCTCTCTATACCCCAATCAGCTTCATCATGCATACTGGCTAGTACAGTGTGGTCACCGATGTATTTTATTGTAATAAAAAAACTGTCCCATAGTATATTTGAGAAGCCTGCTAATTTTGCAATGGTGGCACCCTGGTGGCAAGATCAGGTAAGTGCTGCAATTGATTTCCCTTTTGTCACTTGTCATACCCGTGCGATGCTGCCATCCTACACTTTATTCTCGTACTTGAGGTACAATAACGTTCTGAAATGAAATACTAACTTTACAATAATTGTATATGATATTGTAAAATATTTAATACACAACAAGTAATTGTTCTCGAATGATTTACGTAATGTGAAACTTTCATGCTTGCCAATTTCAAGCTGACGTAGACACTGACTTCGTTAGAGTACAGTTACTCCAGTCCGACACAAGCTGTGCAATCGTTGAAACTCTGAAAAAATACGAGGAAGAGGATTTCAAAGGAAAATGTGGTACGAGAGACGTTGGAAACTTGCTCCTCTTTTTCGCTTTACAGTGCCCTTCAAAGATGCCCTTGGCGTTGCGCCCGAGAGTAGCTCTTCCAGAGCGTTGTACCGTTTTCGTAGTAGCGTTGTTTAGTATGAATATTGGAGCTATCCTTGTTCAATTAATTGCGTAAAAGTATGTACATAAACCCCTGTGACAGACTGTAACATAAACGGAGTAACATTTATTGCATTTATGATGAAAGGAGAGAAGCCAGCTAAGATTGGATGTCCCGTAGCTCAGTTTTCGAGAGAACGGGCCGATTCAGAACTGGGGTCTAGTCTCTGGATGACAACCATCGCAGGGGAATCTCCTCGCTGCGAGAGCTACTCGCAGCGAAAACCACGATTGTGAAGAACTTAGAGGTTGTGGAGAACCAACAGGGGGATAATCATTGCTCGATCGTCTCAGGCATTTAGAAAACGGCTAACCTTCGATCGGTCAGTGCACAGCTTACCGCATGGTTGCGTGAAGTCCGAAAAAGGATCAGAATATAAAGACACCGAATCACAGGAATGGCGAGGGAAGCGGCAGCAGGGTGTTTCACGTATACCCCTGTAGACGCCACAGCTTGGTGTGTACTCATTGCGAGGAACTCCAAGAGCATAATTAATCAGTATCCTATTAATAGGTTTCGGAGGGAGCATTTTTGCAAATTGAGTGCGTTTCACGTTTAAGCTAGAATTCCTCCTTAATCTGATATTCACATTAAAGACGTAAGGAGATTATGGGCGATCCTGGGGTCTAAGGCCATTCACGTTTCTGCATTGGAAGGCAAGGTAGAGCAAGAAGTGGAGCAAGTTTTCAAATGACGTCTCTCCTTTGATATCTAGAGGCTTCTGGGTCATTCCATCACAGTGTACCCAATGAAAAAGAAGTATCCATTGGCCAATTTGGATTCTTATGATTTTTCTGGTAGCAGGTCTTTTTCACGCGTTTAGGAGTACGACCGCCCATGTGCAGTTCGAACTTCGCTTGTTAATTTCTCTGCATCTTCAAGGATTGATATGACTTTTCGTTGTTCGCACTCGAACCTATGTCTTTGCACTTGTCTATGATTATGGAATACGAGTAACTTTCCTCGGAAATGACAGTCATGTACTTCTCCCGCAAAATATTGATTTTCGGAGGTATCCCACAAATACAAGCCTTCTCGCTTTTATTCGGGAAACTTACAATGCTATACTAACCCACTGATAATACAGCAAGAAAACTCTTGCCCGGAAATGCTTCTGGGGCTAGTCCAAATTCGTTACCATGAAGATTTATGTGTCGTGTAAGTGATACGGGCCTTTGTTTAAAGGACCATAGTTTAAAGGAGTTTCAAATCTTGATACATTACTGAAAGTGAATTCAACTAAGATAAATAATTTAATAATTAATTATCATATTAACACTGCAACAAATGCTTATCTTCAAAAAACAATTTTTTTTTATCAACAAAAAGCTCACACTGCAACTAGCTAATACATGTAATAGCTGCTGTGGGCATAGGCAAATTCTGGCGTGTACAGGCAGTAAATGTTACAATTTGATTGTGGGGTCTATGTTGCCAGAGTAGGGTTCCTTGAAAGTTTCATACCTGGAAAAGTTATGAAGCACTTTGATTAGGGTCTTTTTTGAAAAAGGAGACTAAGCAGATCTTTAATATGACTTCATATCTGAAAAGCGTTTATGCCAAAGATAAATAGGCTCTCTGAAATGGCCAATATTCTAAGTACCAGTAAGAAGAGTTTGCGAGAACATAGAAAGGAGAATCACTGGTCAATTTTTCCTGCCAATCGGAACTGGCAATCTAGAGAAACGGCAAGACGCTTTTAGTGATATTGCAATTTTCAAAGTGCAATTCCTTCAATCTGCCCTAGGAAACCAGTGCTATTCTCAGCTCAATGCTGGCCCCACTGCCTTTAAGATGGAAAGTCATATTCAATATAGTTTTGGTCTCTCTCAAGTGAGACCACAACCAAAGAGACTACCTTTGTAACTTAATTTTACAGATATGAGTCTTCCGAGAACCTTAATTTTGAAAAAATAAGTCTCACCCGCCCCCCAAAAGTTAAAACTGCAGCCTAAACTTGATACGATAAAAGTTTCGAACGTTCATAGCGACTCCGGAGGGTGACATTTTTTCCACTGTGTGAATCGGGATGGACTGACCCTCGTGAAAAAGCGTTTCCACGTCGTCAATGAAATCTCGGGGAGGAGGCGTCATCGGAACGGGAAGGACTTACCTCGTCTTGGAGAGTGGTGCAGACCCAAAGATTGCTTCCGTCTTCTTTTCCGTTCCCCCAGTGTTTCACGGCCATGTCGATGCAACAATCTCCGTAGATGACGCAATCTGCGTCGCAGAAGCACGGCGACTTCCCGAATCTGCCCGATGCAAATGCCCCCGTTCGCATCAATGCCGTCATCGATCCGTGTACGAGTGTAAGAGACACGAGCCGAGACGTTAAAGGCACGTTTACGATCTCCGAACGAGGGCAAAACCGGCTGGACTCTGTTCGTGGGGATTTCTGCATTTTTCATTTCATTCTCTAAGGAGAACGATCGGCCTGTGGCGTATTTGTCGCGCACTACAATGTCGTATCGCGAGATCGACATCGACAGCATGCCCGAAGGAGAAAAATGGGACACCCTGGAGCATGCAAGCCTAGAGATCGTTTACGGAATTCACTCTCGGTTCGGTAAATCTAAGTTTATAGGATGGAATGCAGGACTGGGAACGCACTTGGATTCGACCATGTCATTGGGAGAGACATTGAAGGATTCGATGCGATTGTGACAGAAGCGAAGTTCCCCGCAAAATCTGTTATTTTCCGTTTCTTCCAGCATCAAAGTGTAGTTCACGTAATGAACCTCCTCCTGACGTCCTGCTGACAGTACACTCAGCAAACTGAGAAACGTGAACCCGAATTCTCGGGTCATTTGTCCTCCGGGTCTGGATCTCCAACAGAGAACTCGGATGGAGAACAAAAAAAAGAAGCAAAAACAAAATTCATTCTCTCCTTCCGAGCGAGAAATCATTTTCTCATCCCGAAGTAGAGATCATTTTCCGTGGAAAGATGACGCACTGTATCACATATCACATTAAGGAGAAGCGAAGGGAATGGGGGAATTCCATACCGAGTGGAATGAAGGAAATCGTCCATGATTTCCTTCTTTTCACTCGTACGGAATAGGAGTATAGGGGTAGAGAGGCAGCATTCTGAATCGCACTCAGAAAATCTCCAATCTCGCCCTTGGATAGAGAGCTGGAGGCTGCACAGGGATGTCACGGATGACTATCGCTCTGGTGTTCGTAGGAAGCGAAGAGGAGAGAGACTGTGTAGAAGGAGATCGAAGGGGGAAATGTTTATATTCGCTCCTTCTATCCTTCTTCGCCCCCATCTTTCATCCGTTGACTTCGTTCTTTCCTCCCCGTGCAAGCGGTACTATTGCATTACCACGATGAATTTCTAACCACCTAGACGATACTCTTTCGCGAGGGACGATCGGAGTCGACATCCAATCGAGACGCGATCCATTCACGGCTCCATAGTCCATCCCCAATCGCCCGTCATTGAAGAACTGGATTCGTCATTCGACGGAGACAGACGGAATCCGCCTTCCCTCTTCTACGTCATTCATTGGTCACGGAGTCGTACGAAGTGGTCAGAAACATGGGGCAGGAGGACGTGGATCGATCTCACCTTCCCCTCTCTATGGTCTCCTCTATAATGCATTGCATGACACACTCACCTTTCTCTCTCTTGGTTGATCGAAGACGCCGTATACGGTATATACCAGCTTGGATGCAGGAGAGCAGGACTCTCCGGGATTCGCATGCATATCAATGCGAGTCCTTTTCTATGTCTCTCTGGAAGCAGACGGCCGCGCCTTGACCATGTGCAACAGGAACGAGAACAGCAATAGGAAGTGTCTAACCTGGATTCCGTCCTTCCATCCCGTCTGTTGCGTTTTGTGGTTCACGATCGGGTTCTCGATCTTCACGACGAGTTTATTGGCCGGATCCATGCTCACCGAGCGGTGGGAGATCATCACGTTTCACCGCGAAACCGTGAACGGCTTGGCTCGTTCGTATAATCTCTCCTCCAGCCTCCGATGGGTCCTGGACGGCAAAGTGGGGATTCTTCGCCTTCGGAATACTTCTTTTTTCTTCGTCCCGATGAACGGGGGTGTTTGGACCCTATGCTCCGATCTCGACGGTGGGTTGTCTAGTCACTGTAACTGAAAACTCCCTGGCAATGATAAAATAAGGAGGGGAAAAAATTATTTATTCACGGGGTCGATCGGGGGCAGAGGAGGAGAAGAAAGTGCTTTGGAAGGAGGGCTGGATGAATGCTGACAGATGCGTCAATTATCTTCACCCGGATCACAGGCTCAAAGATGAACATCGCACGGATCGAGTGAAGCGTAAGGAATCGCCATCACTCAGATCATGTAGGAAATACTAGGGATCAACTCCAGTATATGTATCTAAACAGGTCTGCAGAACCTGAGCATCTCATGTGCCCTGGTCTGTTTGATCCTCCTCGGGGCATCCGGAGTCGTCGGGGGATTCGGCATCCTCAGGCAGGGGAACCCCGCCATCCTCATAACTGGCATCATGTACCTCCTGACCGGTGAGCATGAGCGTGGCAAGGGGGGAGGAGGTGGGATCACATTTCAACTGATCAAATCCATTTCCGTCAAATGCGGAAATGAACAGGATGAATAAATTAACGAGAAAATTTTTTTATTACAATTTCATCGTGTTAATGGTGTCTCGCTTTTCCTCTTAAACGGATAAAACTTTTCCGTTAAAGTCCCATTCACGCTGGAGTTGTATGTTGGATTTTTTTTGGCACTAATGGGCGGGTTTCTCAGAATTTCAAACGTTCCCCATTGCCTTGAAGGGGGTGAAGGGAGCCATTGAGGCCATTGTCTAATTGCTCCTTTCTTGAAGTAAATGTTGCAAGAACAGATGCGGCATGCTGGTGTATCGTCCCGCTCACTATTGCAGAATCATGGAGTAATTTCGTAAAGTGTGAATAAATTTGCAGGTACAGTATTAACATTGGAAAACATCCTACAGAATTGCATTGTCACAGACGGAGTGTTCAACAGACTTCCCAGGCAGCATACCAGGTTGGGCTCGTGTTGTCTGTGAGTGGGGGAGCGTGGGTTCACATCGCAGTGGGCTGCCCATGTGGGCCCCACTTTGGCACTAGTGCGTCAACCAACAGTTGTTCATTCTGTGGGCTAACCGAAAAAGCAAGGTTTCACAAATGAAGCAGGATGGCGCACAAATAGTCCCGATTCAGTGGGATTAGGTAGTGACTTGCTACAAGTTTCAAGTACTTTTCATGCGGCACCTGATCTTTTCCCAGAGAGAACGTTAACAAAATTTAAACAGACATGGGAGACGCCTGGTAATTGTGGAAGGAGACGCTCCACGTCTGGGGCGCCATTTGATCAACGGCAGGCCCTGCCGGGAATCCGAATTTTGAAACGCCACCTAGCCTATGACCATCCCCAGACTAAATGAGGAAGCCATGCAAAGTTTGGTTGGAATGGGATCGGAGGCATGGCCGTGCATAAAGGACAGACAAACAGAGAGACACACAAACATTCGGAAATATAGTACCTGTATAGATAAATAGAAAGTTTTAATATTGAAGCAACATTTCACACAACATTTAGGCAGCATTGTTTCGCTGAAAAATCAACCTTTGCTAAATGTTGACACAACCTTGCTGTGCCGAATGCTCCTGGGAATGTTGTTCCATTTGTGATAAAGATCCAAGATGCCTTACTTGACAGGCACTTCCATAGCAGGAAAAGAGCCAGATGAATGATGGGTGAAATTACAACTGGGTTCTAATCCCTTGTGGAGTGCGAATGTCCCAGAGGAGGGGGGCCACGGGAACTCTAAGAGATTGTTCTCAGAATTTTCATGCGTCTTTTCTTTCTTATTTTGTTTCTACACGGTGTTTAAAAAAAATTGTGCCCATTCATTTTATTTATTTATTATAGGAATGATAGTAAATTTCATCCGATCGGCTCAATATTTCACAAACTGCATGTAGATAAATGAAAGAAGGTTTTTGCCAAATTTGAAGGATGTTGACCCAATGTGTCACGTGCTAAACCGTTTAAGACTTGAAGACTAAGGAAATGCACCAGACGTCCTTGCTGATGCATCCGCCTCAGCCTTGCAGCAAGCGAGTCTGTAAGTGCCACACAGAATGGCCAAGGAGGTTAGCTTCACTGGACTGAGGCGAACGCATCAGCGGGTTTATATGGCAGACTTTTTTACCTATCAAGTTTTAATTGGCATAGAATGTGATACAATAGGTCAATTTTCTTCAAACTTGGCACATACCTTCCTTCCTCTATCTACATGCAGTGTTTAAAAAATTAAGTCGATCTGATAAGATTTATCAGTCATTTATTGCGCAAATAATTTGTCTTTTTTTAACACCGTGTATATATGAAAAGTGGAGGGCACGTGTCCCCGCTCGCCACCCCGACGCTACGCCACTGTGCTGGAGTACTTCAAGATGGACCGAGAGAGACTGCGGCAATGTTTCCGGAAGGGGATTGGTCACGTACAAATAAAGAAGCTTTGCTAGCCTCTTCTAAGCTTCTGAAAGCCATGCCGCACGTCAGCGTTAAATGTTGGGGGGTTTCCAACTTTGGCCCAGCATGGATAGTTGATGTTGGCTCAACGAGGGGCTGCGGGACAAGGTTACGACGGAACAACGTTGGTTTCCAACGTGGGGGCCCATATCGCATATATGTGGAATTCCAGTCTAGGTCCTACGTTGACACAACGTGAGTGTGCTGCCTGGGTTTCATCCTTCTATCTCGTACTAAAGGCCTCATACCTCCTGCAACACCCTTCAGTGGGAAATTTTTCATATCGTAAATTCACCCGCCTAGTAACAACGAAATGTTGCATGTTGCTCAGAATGAATGTGCCTTTTTGAAGCCAAAATTTCATCCGTTCATTTACGACAGTGAGAGATAGAATAAGAGATGGATGACAAAGTTGAAAGCTGATCTTATTTTTGTCAACTCAGGAAATGAATATTTCATGAACCCACCACTAATGGGGTTTAGACGGTTTAGGCGTATAGACTAGACTGGGACATTGCCCAAGATGATAAAATAGGAGCCTCTTCATTCAAACGTAACTGTATTTTAATGACCTAAAACTATCACGCCTCAGCATCCATGAGGGTGGAATTCTACATGTAAGAATGCAGCTTTTACCGCGAGGATATTCCATTCTATCCTTAAAATCGAGAGGAAAGGGAGAGGGATGGAATACGCTTAAAGAAGCGTGGGGATGCCAGTGTTAGCCCAGCGGCCACCTTAGCATTCCAGTCATCATTTGCTCCCAATGCAAAAAATGATGCCTCTCGCATCCCCGACGCAGTCCGACAATGACAAACCGTATCATAAATGATGCAGCATGTCTCTTCTTCACATTTACTTGCAAGAATACATCACTCGTACGACGATCGTAGAGTTTTACGTTTGCAGAGTATGAAAATAATCTGTAGGATGAGTTTTCATATGGGAGAAGAAATGATCGACTTCCACTTTCTTCTCCCCGTTAATAAGCTCTTAATGTATTTCTCTGAGCAAAATTTGTCTCGCCAAACCATCGAAGTCGCTCTTTATGACTTCACTTTCAGTACGTCAACATATGAGTTTGACCTTTAATGACATACAGGCTGATGGCGAGTCAGACTGGTACATGTGCTTCCTTTGCAACACTGTCAGAAGGAGAAAAAGGCAGAATCGAGTGAAAGTGTAGACAATCTTTTATGCATGAACTTATAGATGATATTGCATCTTTGTCATGGGTTCTGGGTACTCAACCTTTGAACTGTGTCAAATCGCAGTCTAGATGGACACTTTACATGGGGCGATGGAAGCGCAGAGAGATTTTTCTAAGGTGTTTAACACGAACCCTTCATCATTTGTCACGATGAAAGCCACCGAGTTTCAACGCCAAGTTTTTCAATCCCAAGTTTTTCAGCACCCACTCTGCTTTAGACATGAAAACGTGAGAATCTGGTCTGCTTGAACTCAAGGAGAATGTTGCACGGGCAAGCGAAGCATTCACACGGAAGTCGGTGTGCATGCCATCTGCAGAGTCACACCAACCAGCTCAGGGTCATTGTACTCGTACAGTATATCCAAAACAGAACGAGTGTTGCAGAATTTGGTATGGATAGCCTTATCGGGTGAATTGATGTTCATCTTTAAACTCAGGGCGATAATTTCTTGCATTTCAATTGCTCCATTTTTTGGGGTTCGTTCATACTGCGATTTTACACCGTTCGAAGCTAGGAGAGAATACGGGTTCCATGACATAGGTGCAACACCGTCAAGTTCATGCCCAAAGGTAGACAGTCAAGGTGTTCACCTTCAGTCATTGGATTCTGGCCTTTTCTTAAATCCATGTTCCGGCAATGAAAAGAAAACATTCATCAGTCCCTTCTTGGTCACTCTGTACTGCAGAAATCGCAACTCATCGTAAGACATGCACCGATGAAGTAAATAAAATACTTTTTTTCGGCAATTAAGGGCAGGTTTCACGGTTGTACTCAGATATGTATGAGGCAGTTGTTCTCCCCGCAGCCCACATACTTTTGTCTATATCCCCTCCAGCTGCCGATTTTATCTCCTGTAATTGCTTCCGATACCGACGCTTTGTTTCAGAATTAAACGGACTTCATTCCTCACCCGTTTAGGGGGATTCGCCGTGTCGACGTTGGGGATGATGAGCGTGAAGCGTTTGGGAAAGTTCGACTGCGGATACCTGGACGAACAAGTGCCAGCCGCTTTCTACGACTCGCGACTCTTCGCCCTCGGGTGGAGTTATCATCTGGCCTGGTTCGGCGTCGCTCTCTGCCTTTCCACTGCTCTCCTCTGGTTCCTCCTCGCTCGCATCGCCCGACTCACCACTTTCTCCATCATAACCTAATCCCTTCCTCCTTCAATTTTTTACGCTACTTGAAAGAAGGCCTTCTCCAGCCACTCCCTGAAAGAGGCGTCCCAAGTCATTAAAACTTCGTTTTCTATCGTTCCTGCCTCCTCTCGCTCACTGTGCACAATATATTTATTTTCCGAAGTCTAGCTATGGACATCCCAGCTCGACCGCATGAATCGCTCTCGTCATGAAGGCATCAAAGATGGAATTTGGAGAATTTCATCTGAAAACGACATGACAATTAGGCGAGTTCGTACATTTATACGCATCTATCGGCAACTTACAGAAGTAGCAGTTACGAATACAGGGCCAGGAGTCCTTTGCAAGCCACGAACACAAATCTACCCGTGCGCCAATCAATCTATCGATCTATCGGAGTACACTAAAAATACAGTAATATTAGAGTTTTCTATGAGGACGATTCCCAATGTCAAACTTCGAATCATCCATAGGGATGACTGAAGGAATGCAAAGAGTCCCACAATAGCTTGCGCGTCCTTGTCCTACATCGCACGGGGGCTGCGTCAGTCGAGATAATATGTACGGGAGGGCATGATCAATTCCCTAATGCTTGGGACGATGGGGCGACCTGGAAAAAAGGTTTTTGAATTGTTAATAAATGCTACTGGAAGTCTTATTCCCTTTCTCGCCGTCCAATGGATTTCCCCCATCAGCTGAGGGGAAAATTCATATTCGAGATGAATAAGTTCTCTTCCAGATACATTACTTAGTAAGTGGAAAGCTGATGCAAGCACACCACACTACGGTACAGAGCAGTAACCTTCTCGAACGGGATGTCGGAGTCACCTTCGTCTCCGATTCTCCCCTTCCCGGAAATTCACTGCTGGACTGAGGTGGCTGCAAGTCAGAAAGGAACAACCGAATCATCTGAAATTTCAAGCAATTTCTACATTTATTTTCGGAACGTCAGAACGATTAAATGTCTTCATCTGGCAGTCAAATCCGAAAATTATTCGGGTAACTCCCTGTGAGTCCTGAAACCGCCACACGATCACACGGTACGTGCCATCATCACGATGCAACGAGAGAATCGGCACATGTGAGTCCCTTCTGGGTGGAACGACCAGATTGACGCAGAAGATAGCCCGGAACGACACACAAGATCCAGCCGTTCAAAAGCCTCTGGGACAAAACACACTTAAGCTTGATCTGCACTTCTATAATTGAGTCCTCAATTAAATCTATGCTTATATTTACTCGATCGTACCTGACCGTGTCAACATACTGAGGATATAACCTTTAATTAGCACACTCACAGTCTGCATTGCAGCGTTATCTTGTGCTTGAAGGGACACACTCATACATACCAGCCTTTTCCGATTGGCTTGTGCTTAGCTTCCGATCAGGATCATGCTCAACGATGCTCCAATCAGGAGAAAATCCACCAAAGGTTGTCTTCAATTTGGGGGCTTCTGATCGGTGGTTTTCGTTGAATTTATGAAGTAAAAGGGGAAATGCTCTCTAGTTAAAATCCTCCATCGCTATTGCAGACTTCACAGATCTCATCTACACTGTAATATTTCTGCAATTAAAGAAGTAATATAATACACTTAAATTTCATGAACATCATCGTTTTGATCGGGGTTTCAGATCGTGTGGGTTGACATTTCTAAATGCAATGAAACAGGAATCGCCTGAAAAAAACACAAGGCATTTACAGTTATACCCTACACCGTGCGATTCCCTCTCTTCGAAGCGACTTTGCCCAGGTCTCACAATTTAGTTCATTTTCTATCCAAAAAGAAAGGAGCCTACATACACTACATACACTGTTTATGGATTGACTAGATAACTCCCCCCCCGAATAGAAGCGCTTCCATCGATCGCAATCAGTGACATCTTGTGGGTGGGCGGTTAAACATTAATGGAATCCTTCATGGATCTCTGAAACTCCATATATTGGCCCCTGCGCGGTTGCCAGGTTCGGTATATCCTCGGTTTATTCGAATCGGACCGATTTCGTTCCTGCACGAAAAGTACGATGGCTTTGAGCGTCAAATTTGAACGTCAAGAATATTGGGCTTCGGACCAGATGGGTGCGGCAATGAGAATTTTTGCAGGCAAATTATTGCATTCATTATTGCATTTGTAACATTTTATCGAGGACTTTCGAGTTTCTGACGGCAGACAGAACAAACGAAGAAGAAAAGAAGAAAAGTAGAAAAGGAAGAAAGGGAAAATTGAGATGGGAACGGGATGGGGAAACAAGCCGCTAGCCGGGGCCACTAGATGTAGAGCCAAATCTCGCACCTGTGGCTGGCAACGTTTTACCTGCGTCTATCGTGATGAGTCCTTTCCTTGCGAGATCGACTGTGATTACATGATGGAATCTACGGGATGCCCCCCCCACTGAGGAGTCTGAGAGCTCCAACTGGCTCCATGCAGGTGTTCGACGGCATGCAGTGACGTTCGAAGGTGGATTACCTTTTTCCGAGGAAGATTACCTTTTTCCAAGGAGAGCTGAAGAATTTCCCTCCGTGTTTTTTTTTAAATACTGCTGATTATATTAACCAGGGAATAAAAGCGCATTTTCTTCTTCATGGGTCACCTCAAGAATGGAATTATCACCGACCATCCAACAACCGTGCAAAGCAGCAGGCCTGGAATCTAGCTTATCGATTAGAATCGTCTGGTTTCTTTTTCTGTTCTCCACAATGAGGGGGGAGGGGAAAGGGGGGGGGGAAGACACTATCAGAAAATAGCCAAAATTAATCCTGATCGCTGCGAAAATCAGTATGCATGGGCATGGACACATGGACAAGACACAGGTTGTGTTTGTTTTCGGTTATATTCGTGCTATTACAAACTGTTATGTGAATTTGACGTTTGGAACATATTTTTCCTATGGAAAACCATTATCAGCCATGAAGCTTCCTTCCAGAGGCCAGGAAGAGTGGAAGGCAGAAGTACAGGGTGTCCCACAAAGATAGTCCTTCCTCCTCCCTTTCCACCATTCCAATCGCTATATCGGCGGTTAGGCGTCATCTCGCGCCGATTGGTAGAACCTATTTTTGTTGAAATGATGTGGATAACTGCATATTGAATCACTATTCAGACTATGATAAAGGCAAATTTGAAAAATGAATTTGCACTTAAAGACCTCCAAAAGACTTCGCTAATCCATGAGCAGTCATCATAAGCTGAAAATGCGGTTGATTACGAATAGCCAGCATTTAATTGCTGTTGATTCTTCACAGAATTCTCAACTTCAACCATGTCTCAACATTTCAACCTTTTGTCGATGCTGACACGAAGAAGAGTAGTAGAATAAGAGTAACTGCACGGTAGCCGGATGACACTCGATTTGCGTGCAGGTTCTAGAATAAAATTAAAACGTAAAATTTTAAGAGATTGATCCTGCTATCTTCATAGGATTTTTTCCCATAGATAATAATAATAATGATAATGATAATAATAAACTCGCTTGGAGTAGAATTTTCATTGAATTCTGACAGCATTTCCTTTGGATGGTGTGCTTGGCACAAGACACTGGAAAGGACTCTTCCAGTCTGCCTCGACGAGTTCGAACCCTCGGGAACGTCCGAAATGTGACATTCTTGTGCAAGCCTTTTCCCGAGATCCTTTTCCATTTTTCGATGAGATCATTGAGAAACGGAAAACAAAAATTATTTCGTCTCCCTATCACTCGCAGTTTGAGAGCCTGCTTCCCCAGTTCATTCGTTGGACGACCAAGCATGCCGTGCGAAGGAGGCATGGTAGAAGAAAGGAGGTGTGGAAGAAGGAAGAAGGTATGGAATAAGAAGATGCTATCTTCTTGCAAGTTCACCCCAGGCGCTAGGGTCGGACTGACCCATAGGGGATACTGGGAAATTTCCCGGGGGGGGGGTCTCCCCTCACTAAAGGGCCTCCCATCCCCATTTTTTGAGGGGTTCTTCGGTCAGGGGCAATTGGCTCTCCCTTTCCCCTTCGCTTTGGGGGAGGGGAGAGGGGGGTGTCCTTGTCCTTGTCCTTGTCAGCAATTTCCCGGTGACCACTAGGCCGCCAGTCCGACCCTGCGATGGGTTTTCGAGTGCTCCGCGAATTCTAGATCGATCTCTGAGAGTTTGGACGCGTCCATTTTCTGGAGAAAAATCGACGCGTCCAAAACCTTGCGCGCACTTCTCTATCTCCTGCCGAAAAGAAGAATTGCCACCATCGTGGCAGAGGACGAAGAGCCAAGAGCAAAGAAGACGAAGGAAACAATCGCCGAGCAGGCACAGGAAGCGGCCGTTTCTCTTCCAAGCGCGTTTTAGCCAAATATTTAGAATAAAAGGAAGATGCGGACGTAGAGTGGAGATTTTTCATGTAGTCACGGCTCTCACAGCCCTCATGGCCTCGTCGCAGCATAGGCACTCGTGGCGCCGAAGAGGAAAAGGAAACCGCGAGGCTTTACGGAGCGGTTCGAAACGCAAACGAAAACAAGGTGACGCGGAATCGTATCGCAAGGACTCGTGAATGGACTCAGAGCGAGGCAACGGAAGCAGCGGAAACAGCGAGGCAGCTAAAGCAGCGAAGCAACGAGGCATGATTGGATTCGTGACGAAGACCGCGCAAAAATCCAGCAGACCGCTCTAGAAAGTGGACGGAGGAGTGGATTTCCACGGATTCCTCCTTCAACTCGTCTCGAAGTGGGTCTAGCCGCATCGGAAAGCGGCCCGCTCACGCATTGCGGTACGGGAAGGGAACGCGTTGCGTTCCGCGGACGCGCTCGCACTCCGCCTCCTTCACGCCAACCGCGCGAAATCGTAGGGATCGTCGTCGAGCACGACGACTGCGTTTTGGGTTTGCCGTGCGATCGTCCGAATGTGACGGTCCGAACGGTACTGTCGTCGCAATCACGACAAAAACATTCCTACCATCTCTAACGGAGGACCTGTGAACATACTAGATGGAGGCCGATAGAGACCAGTGGAGTCCGCAGAAGGAAGGAAAGCGGGAGGGAGGGAAGGAGAAAGGGTAGAAGGCCTCCGACGCCCATTTTCTTTGTAATGTGGTACCCATAGAGTATATTTCATACGATCTCTATGGTGGTACCTGGTTGGGCCAGAC